CAATTTCTTAAACAATTTTATGGTTTCACCAATTCAAACTACTATTTCACAAATCTCAAGACAATGAGAAAGACATAGAAAACTACTCATATCTCATGAGAAAAACACAACAAAACTCGGAATTCATATATAAAATCAAAGTCATACAAACTACAATAATAAATAAACTTATCTCTAATTTCTCCCCAAGAAAACTCCTTGAAGTTCCTCTGAATGAATTGCTTCCTTTCTTTACATCACACAAAATTCCTCTTCGAAGCGGCAAATATGAAGAAATCTCTCACTTTCCCTCCACTCTTATAAATAGACTCTCTACACTTTTTCCACACTTCAATTTTGAGCCTCCTCTTTATTTTTGGCCAAAGTCTTCTTTTAAAGTTGTGGATGAGCTTTCTCAAGAGTTGCCTAAGCACCCCTCCAAAATTCGTCCTAATCCAAAGCCTAATTGGACATAACCACCGAGCTCGCCGTCGGCGGACCTTCTAAGTGAATTAATTCTGGAGTCTCGGAAAATTCTCGTCGTCGGCGCACTAGTTCAATTCTCCATATTTTGGTCATTTTCGCTCCAAATTCGCTCTTTTTTGTATCTTTTTGCTCCAATGACTTTATAATTTGAATAAATATGTTAATGCTAAGTTGTCCGTTTATTATATGATCAGCCTATAAATGCATGCTTGGCTGATGCTATCCGCCTTATTTTATTCTAAGAAAGTTGATTTTATGAAGCTTAAACATTTAAATGAATTTTATTCTTAACATGCATATATATATATATATATATGTGTGTGTGTGTGTGTGTGTGTGTGTGTGTATATATACACACACATATATATATATAATCATTAAAAATGTTCTAGATCTTGATATTTTCGGATGACAAAAATAGCCTTGCCCGAAAATAGGGGGGCATCCGACATGAATATCGAAGCATGAAACAGATCTCGAGATAATATTTTGAGCAAGTAATATTCAAACCTTAATAAAAACTTGTCCAAAACTTCAATTTCAGCAAATTTATAGTCAAACTGATCGGCTCGACGAGACGGACGCAATGATATCAAATTCATTCCAATCAAAGTCAAATCAAACCCAGATCAAGTCATTAGATCATTCTTGAAAGATTTTCGGACACATTTAGAAGGTCAAACGATTGTCGAATCTGCCAAGTTTATAGTCGAATTCAGTATCTCAAAAAGAAGAATCCAACGAGCCCAAGATTGCACAATTTTGACATTGTTAAGACACTCAAATGTCAATAAATATTATTTGATCAGAGAAAGCTCTCTGGATTGTCAGATAAAAAAGATTCATAAATAGAGCCTCGCCTCTCTCATGAAAGGGGAGACTTAAAGCTTCAGAGAGAATTGGAATCTCTAAGAGGAAGCTTAAGCCTAGAGAGAGCCAGACTTTGAGGAGAAGTTACAGCTCAGCATCACCGCAGACCGTCGTCGACTACCACAGACCACTGTCAACCACAGCCGACCGTCGTTGATTACACCGACCGCCGTCGATCATCGTTGACCGCCATCGACCATTATTGACCACCGTCGACCACCTCCGACCATTGTCGACCATTGTTAACCGTTGAAAATCATTTTCAACCGTCATCGACACGACCAACCAGATGCCATCATTCAATGTTATAACTTCAAAAATCTAGCATGTGGGACAAGAGCTCATAACTACGGTTTATGTGCCAACAATAACCTACGTGTTCCTCAACTCCCGACTCATGCCCCAGTGGCCTTCGGACGTCATTCATATTCACTCCAATGTCCTAGGTGGTTCACAACTCGTGCAGTTTCCGACTCCGGCTCCTGCGGCTTACAGTCGTCATTTCATACTCGCCTCTACAGCCTACGTGGTTCATAGCACGTATAGTTCCCAACTCCGGCCCCCGCGGCTTACGAACGTTAATCATACTTGTCACTACAGCTTATGTGGTCCACAGTTCCCGCAACTGCTTACTATGGTTTCTCTAGCCAATCAATGCTTCTGGTGCAACCATCAACAACACTATCTACAAAACAATCAACAATGATCCCTGCAACCTGCTGCTACCAAGAACTGTAGTTAGATTATTATTATACAATTTTGTAATTCCATTTTCCCTAATTTTGGAAAAGCATGGACATGTCTACTCATTATTCATAGTTGATTATTTCAATTGGGCTAGGCCCCATGATTTTTCCCCTTCTCAAGAGTTTTTCACGTAAAAATTCGAGGTGTCTTCTCATGCTTAGTTCTCTTCTTTTTTCTGTGTGTGTCGATTTCTCGTGCAACGCTAAGACAATAATCTATCACTCTACTTCCGCAAATTTTATGGCACGCATCACTTATGTTTCTAATCAATGATATAAAATAAAAAATTTCGCTCTTTCTTTCATAATAGGATAATAATGATACGTACGAATATGTTCTTAAGCCTTTTCTTCACATCAATATCATGACACCTGTAATTGAGGTCTAATCTTGAAGCAACAATATAATGATGATAATAGTTGTAGTTGTAAAACTAATTGTAAGTAAATTGAGAAATGTAAATAACAAAAACTGATTCATGGTGGTTTGATCTCTCAAAACCTTCTATTTTCATGTCGAGTCCTTATTTTAAAATTTTACTCTCTCATTCGTAGTTATAGGAGAAAAAGCCCTTCAAATACTTGTTCTTTGACAATTTATAGAGCAATCCAATCCTTCTACTCAAAATGAAAAGCCTGTTACTCCTAGCATAACTGGGTGAATATTAAGGCCCCGTTTGAGAACGAGGATATGCCCTGTTGTGTTGCAGAGAACAGTGACAGAATCATTCATGCTTATTTGGTTCCTCCCGTCTTCCCGAGTTGCATCAACAATACAAGCATTTCTCCGCCATTTTAGAACGTGAGATCTCCATGGCGTCGGTCCTGTCGCCCAGCGTTCTCCTGTTCCTTATTGGGACGTTGCTTTTAACCAGAACCCTAACATGCCAATTTAAAGGTGTTTTACTGGCTACTCCTAACACAACCTGCTTACAAACGAACTGCATTGAGATCCAAGATGCCCTTCTCAGTATTAGTAGAAGCTTCGCAAAGCAATAATTGCTATTCAAGGAGCAAAGTATGACAAAAGCAATGACATTGTCTGGTGGAAGGGCACTTTCAATGTCCTCTCTTTTTTTCTTGGAGTTATTCATTAGCATCACATGAAACTCATCAACCCTCCATAATTAAAACAAATCAATAATTAATGATCTTAATTAATTTATATCGTACAATGCTAATCATATAGTTAATATTTTTTATCAATTTTGGAAAACATGTGGATCTATTAAATTTCCATTGTAGGGTATGATTTATAAATTGATTTAAGTGAATTGAATATTACTTAATTAATATACTTAATTTAATTTGAATTTACTTATATCATACCACCCCGTCTTGTATCATACATATGATCTATAAATTAAATTAAATCAAATTTGTTTGATTAATTTAACTGATTAATTTCAAATTAATAAAAATTATTATTCATGATTACACAATTCATCCTCCGCTCTTTATTTGTCTCAAGAAATTAATGAATTGCATTAAAAGCAACAACAATAATAATTTATGTCTGCAAAGTGGGAGAAATATTTGCGTACGTGAGACGTACGCAGACCTGCGTACGTCTGGTAGGTTAAAAAGAGAGTATTGAGAGTTATATGCGCGTTATACCCCCTGTAACCTTTCAGGTGCTTCTGTTTTCATATATTTCTAGGTTATATTTAAGTTACAGGGAGGTTACATAGGGTATAACACGAATAGAACCCTCAATACCCTCCCTGTAACATGTCTGACATACGCAGCTCTGTATAAGTCTTACGTACGCAAATATTTCTCGCAAAGCGGGGGCTCCACGAAGGAGAGCGATTGGGTGGGTCCCTTAATTACAATTCTGCAATTTTCTAGAAAAATTTATAACATTAATTTTTCAATTCCTTGCTCATTATAGATGTGAAGCATATTTTGTATTTATAAGCAACCAAATAAGCCTTGAATTGAATTACCTAACCCTAAAAATTAAAGCACCCATTGCCACAAGGCAATGCTATGCCATGCATATGAGCCTTCAGCGGTGACTGACTTGTAGGGCTGTGAAAAAAAGTTGTTTGTTCGTAAATACATCCTATTTAGTTCTTTAAATAGCTCTTGTTCGAATTATGAGTTGAATAAATGAGCTGAACAAAAAAAAACCCGAGCTCGCTTAAGCTCTACGCGCATACAACCCTAAGGACTTGCATAAGCAATTTCACAACAGATAAAAATGGAGATTATTTTTTAAAATTTGATGGGCTTAAGAATTATTCCTTAGAAGGTCTAATGCATATTTCTAGTAGATTAAAATTGACTAAAAAATTTTGGATAATAAAGAATTAATGACTTGATATTACATATTAAAAAAGCATAAAACCGTATAGCTGACAGATATTAGCATAAATATGTATAGAGAAAGAACAAAAGCAGCAGAAAAAAAATGAATATAGATATTTTAAACACAGTTCTGAACTTTAACATGAAATTATCATAAAAATTCTGGCTAAGTTCATTCATATCATTCTATTAAAAACACAAGTACACAGAGAAAACCATGTTTCATTTGACGTAAAATCTGTAGAAATTGTGGCTTGCAAAGTATCCAATTCTCACAAAAACAAATGTTATTCCTACTCCTGAACTTGGCTTATAACGCTCAGCTACATCATTAAAGCTTTCTATGAAAAATAAAATTAGAAAAACTAGAACAAAGGAGATCAATATGCAGGGGTGGCTTCAAAATACCAATTCAAGTTTTATCATCTTCAGTAAATTCTTTAGCAGAAAACAGTTTACTGCCAGTAAAACTAGCCTTGCCCCACACTGCTCTGAGGTATCTTCCTCAGCAACTTGTATAATCCAAAAACATTTTTCTGATGCCAAATGTAGGGGATGAAAAATGATCGATAGATAGCAGGCGAAATCTCCCGATCTAGATAATGTACCGCAGCCAAGGTCTGAAAGTTCAGGTTTCATCAGCAGCATAAAATTTACAATGTTTTGAAATATGCAAGGGTAGATGTATTAAGAGGAACTTAGAACTCGATCGAAACTAGCATCGAGTTTTCAAGCGAGACAATTGATTAGAATCATTTCAAGTCAAGTCTCAAGTCCCATTCTTCTATAGACAACCTTTGAGCCTAGTATGGCAACATGAGATTTGATTCTAAATAGCATGAAATTATGCGAACTTGATGACTCTACTCGGCTATCAAAGATAGATAAATATGTCACATACTAAAATAATACTGTTCTCAATAAAAAAAAAATTCGAAGTGGTGAATTTCTTGTATTTATAGTCTAATTTCAAATCATTGACTTGGTTCGACACAAACAAGTTTTACTCCGAGTCAGCTCGACCCAAACAACAACTCAATTTACTTGAATAACATTAATTTGATTAAGTTCAAAACGCTCAAACTTGGCTCGATGCCATCTCTAGGAACATGAAAATATATTGGAACATACCTCCCATTTTGATAAGTCTCTTCCTCGATGAGGGTGAGGTCTTCCGAGATCAAGCTCCACAAATAAGGTGCATGCATCTATATCATGGAGCTGTGAAATTATGGTAAGAGGTAATTTCATGAAGAGAAAATAATATCTAATGGAGAATGAAAACTTTCAATAGTTTTGAAGATATTACATATTGCATGTCAGAAGCTTTGTTCTTATTGTTGAAATAAAATGGAGCAGCGGCTGTGCCGCCTAAGGTTGAATTGAAGGGGAATGGAAGAAGTCCTCCGAAGCCATCATTAACCCATCGAACTTCATTCACATATGATGGTATGAAGAAGGAAGAAGGGTAGCGATGCCACTCACTTCCGACACACAGTACAGAACCTAAATGAGCATATAATGAGATGCAACAGTGCAAGAAACAGCATGATTGTGAATTTAATACTTCTGGTGCATGCTGAAAATCGCTAAAACTACCACATCAACAATAATTTCTACACAGTGATCTGAGCCACATCAAAGTTAACTCATCCTTTTCTAACAGATTATTTAGGCACTGTTTGTTTTGGAGGAATTGAAACGATCTGAAAGATAGACATGCTATATCATTTCTTATGAATTAAACCCAAACAAAACAATCGAAATGTAACTATGAGATAAAGAAAATATTTTCTCTGGTTAATTCCTCCAAACCAAACAAAGCCTTTATGTAATGAGAGAGAAATCATAATAATCGTGTTGAGAAGGAAAAAAGGCTGATATTACTTATCACAAAATCTAGCAAGGTCTCACCTGGACCGGCATCTTCATGATGCTCTAAATGCTTATAGATCACCAAAGGACCAGAATATCCATGCAACAATGAGAATGTGCGGCTATGGGATGCACACAAAATAAGGCCCAGAAAGACTGGTCTAAGAACCTTAGCAACCTGATATAAGCGGTTAAATCAGGATTCATAGTTGTGATTTATGATCTATACGATTTCCATGAAAAATCTGAGAAACTAATTTATGAGGAATTCTAATCACCTTAACAGTGAGGGACTCTTCATTCGAAAACCTATCACGGAAAATATCAGGAAAACTATCAATTACGGCTGTAGCTGCAACACATATAAGTGTGTATATTGGATAAAGGAACCTGCGAGAAGAAATAAACACGGTCAAGAACCAATTTACCAAATTCCCGCATACATTTCAGAAATTATTGTTGGCAACGGAACCTATCTATAAATGATAGTTGGCATCGAGGCCATATTGTATAGATAAACTCTAATAAACAAGGATTACTACAACATGGAAAATATGATGCATATAAGCTAATCTTCCTGTAAAGTTCCATTTTCGCCAATTGATTAGAGCCACAAGAGGTAAAATATGATCCATTATGTTTATCAAACTATCTTCAGGGCAATATTTATAGCATAACTAAATAAAATGAACATAAACCATTTAAATGCAGAAATCTAGCCAGTATCAACTTTCCTAGAACTTTTCTAGCCACTTTGCTTGAATAAAAACAAAAGAACCATTGAATATCTGACGATAAATGTTGCCAATATATATATTAAAAACCTTTATGGTATGCATCAATGACTTGCAAAATAAAATTTAGCATCAGCAATGGTCAATTGTATATGTGCTGCAGCCACAACATATAAATTTATAACAAACCAACATATACCATACAATATCACGTTAAAAGACATAAATGTACAAGAGTTTCAGACACATCATCATCATTATGTTTAGCCCTGTCCCAGCTATTTAGGATAAGGCAGATGCATGCACAATAAAAAATTAATCATCTAGTTAATACAAACAGTTCTCTTGTGCGAACATAATTGACAATAAAAGCTACTTCAGCGCATATTTGTGATTAGCATTTCATGTTTAATGTCTAATTAACGCTTTCATTTAGTTGTATGATATAAAATATTGTTGCCTATTGACGGTATCAATTTTCTCCAGAAACAACCTTAGCCAATGAACTCAAGTGTCAGCATTCTGACATGTGTGTAAATCATGTTAAGAAACTTTATCAACACACACAAAGAAATGGGGTTTTCAATGTTAAAAAGGTAGATGTTTAGATCATCAAGAGAGATAAAATACCGTTCTTCTTTGTGCGGCTGCAAAGACATAAATGCCAACCAAACATATATAGGTGAAACCACAACTAGAAGATCTGGGGTATATTTTTTCCATGTAATGGGCAGAAATGCCACAAAAAGAAGAGCCAGAATAAAGGAAAAGTTAAAATTGTTGAAACCGTTTCTCAAATAGAATGTGGCACTTTCAACACCATATAAATGACTCTCCCCACCACCCAGTACATTATACTTCAACAGATTGAAGATAGATGATGTCCATTTGCCATAGTAATAATAGTCTGCATAAACTGAAAGAGCCTAGAAGAAAAAATTGTAAAGAAAAAACAGAAGAAATTATTACTCAGTCGAAAGCATAATCATCTTATGTGACAAAAAAGGACAAAATAATCAATGATGTTAATTTAACGTTTATAAGCTTTAGCAGCGGGACTTACAATAACAGAGATAGAAGTTATCAACCCTGACAGAAAAACTTTCTTAAAACTCCCTTTGATTAATGAATATATAGTAACAGGAAGAAAAACCAAAATTGAGAAGGGCCAGCCAATGAGGACTCCAGTGGCAGCTACAGAAACCGCAGAAGCATATTTCTCAAGAAGGAACAGAGCAGATGACAGTGTAACAGCATACATGGAGAATGTACTTGGTAGAAAACCTGAAGAAACATACACATACAACCATTATAGATCAGCTAAGTCAAGAAAACAATTAGCAAAGTATATCTGCACACATAAACACTGCTATTTGGAAAAATAAAAAAAAACATGAAAAAGAAAGTAGTGAAGCTTCAGAGGAAAATATGGTGGATTGTCAACTTGGAAAGAAGCATAAAAAGAGAATTAAGTCAGGGTAAGAAATTTACTTGTACTTGAAAAGAAACAACCGCTGGTTAAGCATAGCATTGCAAGTGCATATGTTGCAAGTCTTTTTCCATATTTCCTTGAAAGGGCAACTACCAGAACAGTCTCAGTAATTGTTGAGATAAGGCCAAGAAAAAGTCTCACTTTGTAGAAAACCTGTACCTGACATTTCAGCAGCACGGAAGATGAGAGGACGCACATAGCAAGGAAAAAATATTATTTTAATGATCATTTATAAAAAAAAAAAAAAAAAATTCAAATTCACCAATATGCAAAGATAGCAAACCTTTTCATCCTTGTAAAACCAGGATGTTGGTCCAGCCAATAGCATGTGAAACAGTAGGTATAGATATGACCGCAGCGCAAACTCAGAGCTACAACACAATAATATGGTGACTTTAACAACTTTTAGACTGCCACGAGTAAAGAAAAAATAAAAGTGTACATGGTTGAAGTATAAAAAACATATCCTCATGTTTAAAAATAGAGTTCCAAGAAAAGGCCAAAGATTTGAAAATAAAATCTAATTCTATTTAAAATTAAATCAAATACTATGAAAAAATTAAAATTCAAATATAATATCACTAAAAAAATGATTCAACTTAATAAAATCACTATAATAAATAAAGGACCTTAGCCATAATTAAAATGTCAGTTCATGGAGGTGAGAAGATCAAAAAAGAAATGAATAAAAAAGCAATTTTGATCCACAACTTGAAGTAATTTGCATAATTAACTTTGGATTTAAAGAAAGAGCTTCAATGGCTTTATAAATAATTTCATTCATTTGATATCAATTTACAATCAACCAAACAATGATTTGAACAACAAGCCATATAACAAGAACAAGCCTTTATCCCACTAAGTGGGTCGGCTACACGAATCCTTTTCTCCATTGTGTCCTAATGAGTGTCATATAATCATTTAATTCTAATAAATTAAGATCAATTTTATACAACATGCCCAAGCCTTTTTAGGTGCCCAAGCCTTTTTAGGTCTACTTTTTAGGTCTACCTCTAACTTTCTTAACATAAGTCGAATCTAAAACATCAACTCTCCTAGCTATAACATCAGATAGTCAACATTTAACGTGACCAAATCATCTAAGACAACTCTCTAATTTTGTCAGCCACTGGAGCTACACCAAATCTTTCACGGATACATTTGTTTCGCATTTTGTCTCTAAGTGTCAAGCCACACAGCCACATAAGCATTCTCATCTCAGCAACACTTAACTTATTTGTATGCTTCTCTTTTATAGGCCAACATTCTGCGCCATAAAGCATCGCAGGTCTCACTACCATCTTATAAAATTTTCTGTTATGCCTAAGTTTTACTATCTAAAATAAGGCCAAGGATTTGAAAATCAAATCTAATTTCAGCTTAGATCTTTAATACTATCAAATATTCAAATTCAAATCTAATATTATCCATAAGGATGATTCAATATAATAAAAATGAAGGCATTCAGCCATAATTAAATTTGGGCATTAAATAAACCTAAAAATTGGTCAAATTCAGCTCCTCTCTAGCATAGTTTGACTTATTTTGATTGGCCTACGAAAAACACATTTTATTAAGGCTAAATTAGCTGAATTGTATTGCATTAGTGGAGATTGATGAAATTTAATAACAATTGCTTTAAATAAAGTTTAAAAAAATCATAATAGTGAAAGATGTCTAGCTGATGATCCATGAAATTTTAGCAAGAGGAAACAAGTGTTTTCAAAAGAAGGGCACAAATAATGCAAGTTAAGTTATTGAATTCAATAAGAGGAGCATGCTAGCACCCTGACTGCATGAAAATAGAAATGATTTTTGGCTTTTGATATGGAATTTACAACTTTTGGAATTGGTTCCTTGATCAGATACAAAGTAGAAGTTTGTGATACCCAACAAAAAATTCCCTTCATGAAGCAGACAGACCACATTTGGCCTAATTTACTGCTACGAAACCCAGGTATGACAGATCCTTTAAAGTGCAGCTTTGCACCAACATTCTACTACACAACTCCAAATTTACCAACAATCATTTTACTTGGCAATTTCCTACGCCTAAATAATTACAAAAATTGTTTCCAGCCGCAATATAAAATGGTGCATGGCAGATCATTTAATCCTCTTTAGCTTGTAAAATGGTAGACAAACTTGGAATAATATAATAGTTTCAATGACAGTCACTCGGCCATTGCCAGTACTCCTTTGGGAAAAAAGATGAGTTTCTAAAGCAACACTTGTGCAAACATTTCACATACTCAACAATAAAGTTTTAGCATCTTAATCCAATCGGCCGCCGCAACTTCCACCTAAACTGGGCAATCATTAATGTAACTATCGTTTGGAACTGGGGTAAAGAAACATTGATATTTGTAGTTTTATTGTCATTTCAAAAGCAGTTTTCAATTAAGAAATTTCATTTGGAAAGGAGGTAAGGGAAAACCAGCAAAGTTAAACAATGATGGTGATGTTGAGAGCCAGAGACAAAGAAATCCTCCACCAGTACTTCATGAATTACGAAAATATTTATGGAGCAAGATAGTTTTGGACACAGAGAAGGCAGCACTAACAGAAAATATAAATTCAAAGCTTATGTTGATTAGACTACTGGAAGGCTGGCTATATTATACGGATTCAATTATTCAGTGGTAAAAAAAAATGTTTATAGGCAAGTTAAGAGAGAGAAATGTGAATGATAAAATGCGTGAAAAAATTCGAAATGAAATGTTGATGAGCAATTTTATTAGAGAGATTGAGAGAATAGCATCTATTGAGATAAGCTAGTGAAAATTAACTTTGGAGAAATTATAAATGTCATGACTCAACTTTTAGTCTTGGAATTTTCAAGGCGGAATCAGCAGGTCGGCCAATGAAATTAGAGTTACTTAGTAATTCTAAATCCGAAAATAAAGAAAGAGCCACTACAACAACAACAACAACAACAACAAAGCCTTAATCCCACTACGTGGGGTCGGCTACATGAATCCTTTTTCTCCATTGCATCCTATTTAGTGTCATATTTTCATTAAGTTCTAGTAAATTAAGATCATTTTTAATACAATAAGCCCAAGTCTTCCTAGGTCTACCTCTGCTTTCTTAATTTCTTAACACAAGTCGAATTTAAAACATCTACTCTCCTAATCGGATCATCTAATGTAAAGAAAGAGCCACTAAAGAATTAAAATTAAAGTTGAACAAATAATAAATTTACTTTTTAATTTGTTGAACTTGTCTTCTATAAATATTATCTCATCTATTATTCATCATCTAATCAAAAATTTATGCCCGAAAATGTTAGTTTAAAACCCAATGAACTAACAATAGCTGGTAAATACTAATACTTAACAAGTACAGTAATAAAACAAAAAGAAATTAATATGCATGCAAGTTAAAAGTACAACAAATCAATATAAGGGCATTTGATAGTTTATATTTTCAAATATGAATTTTCAAGATAGTTCAAAACGTTAGTCATGTTGTATTATATCATTTATTTATATTTATATATATATATATATATATATATATATATATATATTAGAATTATTAGCCTTATTAGCTACGGTTATTATTAACAGTTACTGTTTTGATTTATTAGCATTTATTTACTTTTGTTACCATAATTATATATTTCCTATTTGATGTATTTTTAAATTTATGTCTTTCTTTTTATATGAGTCATATAATGTGTATTTACACCCATTTCCCTATCAATGAAATCTATCCTGCTCTATTCTCAAAAGTTAATATGGTATCAGAGTTATGGTTCTAAGCCTAGTTGCCGCCGAGACTCTTCCCAAGCCGCCGGCCACCTGTACGGTTTCCGCTTTCAACCACCTGCAGGCCTTCTTATTGTGTTTTTCTAGTCGTCAAATCTCACTCCAACCGACCTGATCTTCCTTGAGAACAACCTTCTAGCCGCCAGACCTTCTTGCAGCTGGCTCAATCTCCCTCCAATATCATTGGAGCTCCTCGCTGAGGAACCTACAGAACCCACTGCAGCGCAGTTCTTCCTTCAGCAGCCGGAAAATTCCTATGTCTCAACAACCCAACAACATCTTTGGCTCGGTCAAAATCATAGCAACCTCTCTACCACTGAGCCTCCTCCGAACGGTGTACTTGAGTCCGCAAGAGGATCGACATCGACCACAATCCCTCTACAAACCGGAGGCTCGAAAAACCACATGCATTTCTTGATCACCACCTATAAACTTCATAGCACTAGTTTTCTCCAATGATCTCAAGCCGTGTCATTGTCCATCAACCTCTTAGGGATCATTCAGCGTATGGAGCGTGGGAAGTGGAGAATTTCATGATAATGTCGTGGCTGACCAATTCCATGGAGACTGTGATTGGTAGTTCGTATCTATTTCTTTCGTTTGTAAGTGCACTATGGACGGCAGTTCAGGACACCTACTTAGGCATAGAAAACTCAGGCCAACTTTATGAGGTTTCCAAGATCCGCGAGGCAAAACAGGGATCAAGAATCATGACCAGTATTGTAATGACTTGGTGGCCTTATGAATGAAATATGATCTCTACTACAACTACATATGAGACTCTCCGGCTGATCATTCCCTCTTCCAGAAAATTGTGGAAAATGATCGTGTGTTCAAATTCCTGGCGGGTCAAAACAAGGATCTCGATGAAGTCCACGGTCATACTCTTGGTCGGGATCCCTTTGTGTCAACTCATGTTGCATTCACCAAGGTACGCCGTGAAGAAAGCTGGAGACTTGTCATGCTCGGCACGTCCACTCCTTTAACCAAACCATTCGCCTTGGTCTCTTATAATGCTCAACCCTCCACGTCATCACGGGCTAATTACTCCACTAGTAATTACTGTCACAAACCCTATCATACCTATGACAAGTGTTGGAAGCTCCACAGGAAACCAGCAAAAAAACCTTTGGCCAAATCCTCCACTGTTAAGGGTGTTGCTACGACCTCAGAAGCCGACAGTACAGCCGGCTTCCGCTTGGAATATCCCGAAATCACCAAACTCCATTAAGGGTCAGATGGAACACATGATCAAGCTGCTTAGATCTATTCAGTTGTTTTCCAGCCTGTAGACCTCCCATGTTCGTCGAGGTAACATTATGATGACACTCACTATTTTTTCTTCTTCTAGTTCGTGGATTATTGATTAAGGTGTCATGGACCACATGACCAGGTGTTCTCATGGATTCTTGACATATTTTTCGTGCTCTGGGAGAGAAACTGCTAAAATTACTGACGGTTTTTGTATATTCATTGTGGGTAAATGTTCTGTTATTCTAACAGTCGAGGTTACTCTAGAATCTGTGTTACATGTAACACCGTTAAAGTGCAATATCTTGTCAGTCAATAATTTGGTATATGACCTCAATTATATTATT